TTTTACTGCGGCCGGTCTCCAGCCAGGAAGGACCCTCAGGCCGCCCTGTTGGAGCAATCGCCCCCCATCCCGGGCTGGAGGGGGCTTCCCTCGGGCATCCCCCCCGAGGTGGCTCGTGTGATGGATCTCTGGGGAGTAGCACAAGGCCCGCGTTTCCCTGGGCATTGAGCCCGGCAGCGGAGAGACGACCTCGCGCCGAGCTCTAGCCGTAGAGCATCCGTGCCAGATCCCTTCTGTTACTCTTCTAGAGATCCCGCCGGGCCCTGACGCCGCAGTGGGACCCTTGTGCGTAGCAAGGTCCCCATCCGGGTGCTTTCTTGCCATGCTTGCCTCCAAGTGGGTGCGGGTGCCGGAGGCCGACGCTGCTAGCCGGGGCTGATGTGCCTCGCAGAGGACGTGCTCAAGCCGCTCTCTCTGACCACCTCCTGCTTTGGGTTTCCTTTCAGATCGATGACATCGCGGACGGAGCTGTGAAACCCCCACCGAACAAGTACCCCATCTTCTTCTTCGGCACCCACGAGACGTAAGCGCTGCCTCGCTCCCCTCTCTGGGCTTTGCCCCGCTGCCTCTGCTCCGGGCTCACCTCTGCTTTGTTTCTCTCCAGCGCCTTCTTGGGCCCTAAAGATCTCTTCCCTTATGAAAAATATAAAGACAAATATGGGAAACCAAACAAGAGAAAAGGCTTCAACGAGGGATTGTGGGAAATCCAGAACAACCCTCATGCCAGTTACAGTGCCCCTCCGGTGAGTGCGGGCCTCGCGCGGCGGGGGGGCAGCGAGGACGTGGGCTGCCGGCTCCTCCATCTCTCCTTCCCTCCGAGCCGCTCTCCTCCTTTTTCTGCTTCTCATTGCTATGGTGCCTTTGCGCTTCCAGCTCGCAGATCGGCTTTCTCGGGGTTGAAGTAGCTTCCCTTCCCTGCCCTCTCCCTTCCTGAGGGATTCAGCCCTCCTCCTCCTCCTCCTCTGGAGGAAGATGCCTTTGCCCCTTCTTCAAGGTGGAACCGGGGATGTGCTTTGTGCCGCTTGCCCAAAACCATGGAGGATTTTGTTGTCAGAGCAAGAACTTGAGGCTTGCTCCTCCCCGGCTCCCGGACCTGCGCGTGGAGTGTTGGGCCGTCCCCTTCTTCATCCGTTTCTGAGGTCCTGAGCCAAAAGCCTCTGGGCTGCTCCTTCAGCGGGCTTCAGAGCAGGCCGGGAGACGGCTCTTTGCTGTCAATCGCTTGCGTGGGCATTTTGTAACCATAATTGTATGATACAATTTATTGTATAGTGATCTTCAAAGAAGGCGTCCAAAGCAGCTTCATAGGCAGTTGGTCTGAAGAGGCAGAGGAAGGTTTTTAAGGTGAGCTACAAGGACAAGGTGGTCTAGAGGTAGGCAGGCTCAGGGAATGAGCCCCCCCGGCTGCGCCACTGCCAGTGCAGGAGAGAGGATGTGGTTTGAGTAGCTGTGGGAGATGGTCGGACCCAAGACCACAGATGTAGGGTAAGGTGAGACCATGGAGATGTTTGAAAACCTGGAGAACCACTTCAGTTTGTTGGGCGGGAGGTTGGTGATGGTGAGGGAGGCAGCACCTGCTTTGTCCAGAGACTCCACCGTGAACTCCCCGCAGGGGTGAGGAACCTGTTGGTGAAGGGCCTGCTGTGATGGAGGGACCGAGGCAATGCCAATGGCCCCAGCAAGGCTGAGGGTTCACCAACGCCAACTGCGTTTCGTGGCCAAAATGCCTGGAGGAGCAGAAGAAGAGACTGAAGTAGAGGTCTTTTTTGGTTTTGTGACCTAAATGAAGGAGGTGCCAGGAACAGTCAAGGATGAGGAGAGGCTTTCCAGCAGGAAGGCTCCAGCACTGGAAGAATCCCAGCTCTAGGAAACCCCTTGGGTGCAATGTCCTTGCGTGAGGAACCTCATGATGGGCTGGTCAGAAGCCAGGAGACCTTCCCTACGTGGGAGTGAGGGAGCCGGACAACGGGAAGGGCGGTGGCTGCCACACTGGACTTCTTGTGTGGACCTTTCCCATGGGGAACGTGTGCGATGTGCTGTGGGGTGAAGCCATCTGAGAAGGAAGAAGCCTGATCCGAGTTGAGGGCTGGTGGCAGCCTGCTGGAGGAGGACTGACGCTGGAGGAGAGGCTGAGCCAAGCCACCCAGCTTGTCTGGCGCCGTTAGGGCAGAGGAGGGCTGGGGGCTGTCAGGCGTAGGCTTCTCCGGGGGGCTTTGGCAGAGCGCAAGGATGAGGCGAGCGGGGAGCCGGGTGGAAGCCGAGCTGGGGGAATCCAGAGGGAAGGTGTTGCTGGTGGTCTCAGGGTGAGGGGCCTTGGGAAGGGGGTGCAAGGGAATTAGAAGGGGGTCAACTGAGTGTCCTCACTGAAGGGCTGGTCACGTTTTCCCCCTGCCCCAGCGCCACGCCGAAGGGTTCTGTGCTGGGGAGGGGAGGCTGCCCCACGCTCCCTGCACCCACACCTCTGCTCAGCGCTGCTGTCCGTCGCTCGTCGCCCTTTTGTGCCCCTTCTCCTCTCCCCCCTGATACGGCCCAGGCCCCTCGGGGCGATAACACAACTCTCGCCTCTGCTGTCTTTAGCCTGCGAGCTCCTCGGACAGTGACGTTCCTGAGAACGACCCGATGGGGGGAAGCGATGCAGGTGACGATGAGGAAGACACTGCCATGGCTGCAGTTGCCACGGAGAAAATGGAAAGCGATGAGGACTCGGATCGAGGCAGCGACCACAGCGGGCTCAAGCGAAAATCGCTGGCTATGAAAGTGAGTGTGGGCTGAGGTGGTTCCATGTGGTGGGGGCAGGAGGGTGTGCTGGGCAGGAGGACGGTGGTATGGTCCTTGGGACCACCACTGAGCTTTTGTCCACCATGCAGCATGTCAAACCCACCGTGGCAGGAGGTGGGGAAGAAACCAGCTCCCTCTGGATTCTCCGGTGGGAAATGGGGCTCTGTGTGTGTTTGGGGGTCTCACAGCTGTCTTGTGTTGTCTGTGAGATGCTGGGACAGCCCAGTCCTGGTGTGGTTTGCAGCCTGGAGGAGAAGCCAGAGCTGCAGATCTCTTCTGAGTGCGCGTGGCTGCTCTTGCAGGACCAGTCGGGCAGAGTTGGGCAAAGCCCTTTCCCAGCAAGCTTCGGCTTTCTGTCGTGGGTGGAGGGGGAGTGGGCTTCTCTCACCTTCTCACTTCTCGGATAATCAGGTGCCGGTGGCAAAACGGCCTCGGAAATCCTCCAGTGATCTGGATCAGGGCAGCCCCTCTATGACAGAAGAGGAGAACTCAGAAACATCTTCTGAGTCAGAAAAAAACAGTGACCAGGTGAGAGGGTTTGGGGATACGCTCGTATGGGGGCTGGCAGGGCGGTGGGGAAGGGGCTGTAGGAGGAGCATCGCTGTCTGGGGGGGCAATGGTTTGAGGGAAGCTCACTGGCTTCTGAAGCCATCGTGAGACTGTTCTCCATTTCTCCTGTCTGTGTTTTCCTCCAGGACTTCACTCCTGAGAAGAAGCCAGTGGCCAGGGCTCCCCGGAGGATGCCAGCAGCGGGGAGGAAGAAGAAGGTAAAAGATCCCACAGTCTGCAGTGCAGCAGGAGGGAAGCTGGAGAGGATTTTGGGGTCTGCACTGCCCGGAGGGGGGCTGGGGGCTGGCAGAGCTCTGCCATGGGCTGGGTGTAGGTTCAGCGCTAGAGGGACCTCGCTGGTGCCTTGGTGGCCCAGCTGTGCCCCATGCTGCTGTGTTTTGGGCACGCTGCTGAGCCACTGCCACCCCTGGGTCCAACCCCACTCTGTGCCTGCAGAAAGTGGAGTCTGGCTCAGACTCAGACTCCAAAGTAGACTCGGATTCGGAAATGGGAAACGCGACTGTGGACATGACCAAGTCGGACTCCAACTCCGATTCGGACTCGGATGTGTCTGTGAAGAAGGCTCCGCGGGGCAGGAAGCCAGGTAACGCCAAGGAAGCTTTCTCCACCACCGCTGGGCCACTGCGAGCTTCCTCAGGGGACTGGAGAGCACGTGAGGCTGGGGGCTCCGGAGGCTCTGGGGTCCCCTTCTGTTGTGGTCACCTTCCAGCCCAGAGCTGGGCTGCCCTCTGCCAAAACCCCCCTCCCAAGCCTCGTGGTAGGAAACCAAAGCCCGAGCGTGTCCCGACCAGCTCCAGCAGCGATAGGTGAGATCTCTGTCACCCTCGGGGCTGGGCTGGAGGGTCACCTCCCCTCCGTGCACGGGGTCCAAGCGTGCTCTGTCCTTTGCAGCGATAGCGATAGCGACGTGGACCGCATCAGCGAGTGGAAGAGGCGAGATGAAGAACGACGGCGGGAGCTGGAGGAGAAGAGGAAGAGGGAGCAGGAGGAAGAGATCCGTCGACTCCGGGAGCAGGAGAAGGAGGAGAAAGAGAAGAGGAAGGAGAAAGCGGAGAAGGGCGAGGAGATGCACTCAGACTCAGACAGCAGTGCGGAGGATGAAGTGGCCAAAAAGGGCCGGAAAGGTCGGGCCAAGGCCCCATCGTCCTCGGACTCTGAACTGGAGCTGGAGAAAGAGGTGAGTACAGAGCCATGGGGAGCTGGGGACAGACAGACAGCCCATCCTCTGGGGTCAGATCAGCAGGGACCTCCAGGAGTGGCAGGGACCTGCTGTCTCAGTCTTGTATTACCCTGGGATTGCCCAGGCAGCACTGGGAAGGGATTTGTGTCCGTAGGCACATCCATGCCTTGCAAATGGGAGCTCTTCTCCTGGCCCGGGATGCCCCATCCAGCTGTGGGTCTCACATCACCATGATGTTCTCCTTCCCACCACAGTCATGGGATTTGCTCTGCTACCTTCCCTGGAGGAGCATCAGCCTGAAGCACAGGGAAGGGTTGCGGAGGGCTCACAGGAACCTTGCTGCCCGTGGTTAGAGGCGAGGCTGCCCTTTTAGCCTGGCGAGTTCCTCCCTGTGGAGGGGGAGCCAGGAAAACAGCCTGAAAGTCTTGAGGTCTGGAGGGACGTGTGGGTCTGCCAGTCGGGTACTGTGGGCTGGGTGGGCCGCTCTAGGTCCCAGGGTATTTACTTTTGGAGCAACACACCCCTGTGCTGCAACCCAAGCCCTTTTTTATCCCATGTGGGGGATGCCCCTGCATCCAAACCGACTTGCAGCAGTGGTGTGATGGGTGCTGGATCATGCCCAAGCCAGGGCCATGGCACTGTCTCCCTCCCGCAGCGGGGAGGGCTCTGCCGCTCTCGCCTGCATTGTTCTCTCCTCCAAGGTAAAGAAGCCGGCAAAGAAGCAGCCCTCGGAGTTGTCAAGGAAACCGAATCAGAAGGAGAAGAGGGGCCGAGCAGAGGAGAAACCTCGGAACAAGTCAGCATCTCCTCTCCCCGTGTCGGTGCTTTCTTCCTCTGGGGACAGGGCTGTTCCTCTGCTGCTTCCCAGCCCTCCCCGGCTGACACCTCAGGGTGGGGATGGGGCTCCCTGTGGAGCTGCCCCTGGGCCAGCAGTGCCTGTGGAGGGGCTGGGCTGTTTCCTCCCCTCTTGCCCCCTAGAGCTGAAGAGGCTGGAGGAGGTGTTAGGGGACACCAGGCTGAGCCTCCCTGGTGTTTTCCATCTCACAGGGGAAGATCCTTGGGGTATCACTTTGGGGCTCTGCCTTTCTGCAATCTTGGGAAGCTGGGGCATGGGGGAGCTGCTGCCTCAGGGCTCCTGTCTGCCTGCGAGCTGGGAGGTGGCTGGGAGGGCTGGGATGGAGCATGGCAGGGCTCTGCTGCCTGGCTTGCGCCGTCGGGCAGGCCAGGGGGATGCGCTGATGCGTGCCGTCACCCTTCTTGTTTAGCCCAGCAGCGAGCGGGTGGTTTCACCTGAATGCCCTTACCTCTTCCCTTTCCTTCCCATAGACCTTTGAAGGTGGAACGAGGCCGGAAGAAATCTGATCTGATCCCTGAAAGGAGGATGGAGAAGAAAAAGGGTGAGAGCACCATTGCTTGCTGTCACAGAGTGGAGGAGAGGGAGAGAAGGGAGCCAGGGTTGGTTCCCCCATCCCGAGGAAGGGGAGGGATCTTTCCCACAGGACCCTTCCCAGCACTGCTGTGGTCCCAACATCGTGTTTAAAGTATTTACAGAGTGCGCAGAGGCAGTGAGCTTCCCTGTATAACATCCCCTCCTGATCTTGGCACGCCCCAACCCATCCTTTTCAGAGAAGCCCCTGGGATTATGTTTGACCCTGGAGATGCAGGAGGAGCCTGCTCTGGAGCCCTCAGCACCAGAAGGACATGGAGCTGTTGGAGCGGGGCCAGAGGAGGGCTACTAAAATGATCCGAGGGCTGGAGCCCCTCTGCTCTGAGGCCAGGCTGGGAGAGTTGGGGGTGTTCAGCCTGGAGAAGAGGAGGCTGCGGGCAGAGCTGAGTGCGGCCGGTCAGGGCTTAAAGGGGGCCCAGAGGAAAGGGGGGGACAAGCTTTTTAGTAGGGCCAGCTGGGACAGGACAAGGGGGGATGGCTTTAAACTAAACCAGGGTAGGTTTAGACTGGATCTAAGGAAGAAATTCTTTCCAGTGAGGGTGATTCCAGGCCAGGTTGGCCGGGGCTGTGAGCAACCTGCTGTGGTTCAAGGTGTCCCTGCTCCTGCAGGGGAGTTGGGCTGGGTGACCTCTGGGGGTCCCTTCCAACCCAAAACATTCTGTGATTCTATGATTCTATGAAACCAAATCCTTGCTGGGGGAGAGGTCCCAGGCTCTGGGCAGAGCCATGCTCTCCTTCAGTGGCCTGACAATGCTCAACTTGTCTCTCTTGCTGCTCCAGAGCCCACAGTTGAAGAGAAACTTCAGAAACTTCACAGCGAGATCAAGTTTGCCTTGAAGGTGGATAACCCGGTGAGTGCCCAAGAGCACTGGCCTGGCCTGGGAGGTCCCTGCTCATCGTGTCCTCAGCCACTGCGTGAGCCTTGCCTAGCTGCAATATCTGGGGGTGCTCAGCCTGGCTGAGCCTCCTCTTGCCTTTCTGGATGCTGGGTGGCATTAGGGGGACCATGCTCCACGCAACGTTGTCCCAGGTGCCCACAGGGAGACTTCCAGGCAGCTTCTGATCTTGGTGCCATCCTTGCAGGACATCAAGCGGTGTCTGAATGCGCTAGAGGAGTTGGGCACGCTCCAGGTCACCTCTCACATCCTCCAGAAGCACACGGATGTGGTGGCTACGCTGAAGAAGGTAGGACAGAGGGCTCTGGGGCCCTGCCTGGAGAGAGCGAGGAGCGTGCTTGGGTCACCCCAGCTCTAAGGTCGTCCCTCCTCCTCTTTTCTGGTGCAGATCCGTCGCTATAAAGCAAACAAGGATGTGATGGAGAAAGCTGCTGAAGTCTACACCCGGTTGAAGTCACGTGTCCTGGGACCAAAGATGGAGGCGATCCAGAAAGCCAACAAAGCCGGGCCTGAGAAGGACAAGGGCGAGGCGGAGAAGGGCCAGGAGAAGCTGTCAGGAGGGGAGACACGGAATGAGAAGGGGGAAGAGGAGACGAATGCTGGTAACGCTCCCTGCACGTCTCAGGGTGGTTCCCTGCTCTGTCTGGGCACGTAGCGATCCTGGGGCCCTTCTTAGGGCACGTCACATCCTGCTGGGGACCGGGAACACAAACAGGGACACAGCCTGTCCTGCCGGGGACTGGGGACATGAACAGGAGTGGCTCTTTGCCTCAGTGGCGGAGGGGCTTGGCAACCACGTGTGGCACCTCCAGTCCCTTGATCGCTGGAGTGCCAAGAGTGGGAAAGGACTGAATATCGAACGCTCGCGGCAGTGAGAGCAGAGGGCAAACCTCAACGCCCACGCCCTGGCTTTGGGTGCCTCTGGGCTGATTTTTGGGCCAGGATGGCTCCTCGCTGCCAGCTTGAGCGCTGGTTCGAGGCACCGGGGAGATGGAGGAATGCAGAGACGCCCTTGGACGCTGGCTCAGGCTCTTGCGCAGGCAGCTGGTGACTGGGATCTTCCACCCTTGTAGCCGGGTGCCTGCCTGGGGACGTCCCGGTGATGCTGCAAGAGCCTTCCCTGAGGAACTGGTGGGGAAAATCCGCTCTGACGCCTCCTCTGGGCTTGGGGATGGAGTCTTTGGGGCCCTTCTCATAGCTATTGGGGTCAGGCCAGGCCTGGGGTCCCCTTGGTCTTGGCTGGGTGTCCCTTACCTGGCTGGGGACAACCTGTGGCTGTGGGTCCTTGGCTTGCCCAGCCCCTCGTGAGTCAGGATGGATGAGGTTCACCATGGGGACCTGAGCGTCTGAGCCTCTCTCTCTCTTCCCTTTAGACTTGTCAGGTCCTGTGAATGGTGAATCCCTGTCCCAAAAAGCGGAGGGCACAGAGGAGAAGGACAAAAGCCAAGGGCTGGGAGCCGGAGAGCCAGAGGCGTCTGCCGAGGAGACCCACAACAAGTGAGCGTGCGAGGGGCAGAGCTGGGACCTCCCCTGGATCTGGTGCACCTCCAAGCTGGGCTCACACATGGATGATTTGGGGGGGTCTTGTGGGGCGTGTCAGGCTTTTCCCGGCTTGGGAAGGAGCCTGGGGCGTGGGAGCGGGGATGCCATGGGCAGGGGGGAGGGAGAGGGGCAGGGGGGGCGCTCGGGGGGAGGG